GGGATCGAGTCCCGCATCGGGCTCCCTGCTCGGCGGGGAGTCTGCTTCTCCCTCTGACCCTCCTCCCTCTCATGCTCTGTCTCTCATTCAAAAAAAAATAAAAGGAGATAGCACAAACAGCAATTCTGAATAATCCTTAGGCATAGATACTAGAAATTAGTTTAGTTTCTTTCATTCAGATGCTCGATAAGTATTTTGGGTACATTTCCTGACTTTTTTCTCTTAATGATTTCTTTCTTAGTTCCTGATAGAAAATTATAGCAAAAATGTTTCAGTTGCTCTCTATCTGTTCAAGCATAACTCATATATTAGTTTAAGTGCTCCAGCCTTTCTTTCTCTATGTTAATCGGAAAATATTTTTTAAATAGTAGTCTCTACTAATATAGTATTTAAGACGTGTCCTTAAAAGTAGGAAAACAGACACATTGTCATTTCAAAAGCACTGGCAAAAAAACAAAAGCAAACAAAAATCTTCCCTTTGTTGCTTTATCAATACCTAGAATTATATCACTAGAATTTATACCTTTGTTTGACTGGTCAGGATGGTTTTCCTTCTATTAATATAAATATATCCCAGGAGAATTCTGTTCTCTTTAGCAAAAAGAATTCCAAGTATCAAGGATTTTTAGAGGTTAATTTGATTAAAAGCAAATAAATTTTAAAATGTTAAAAACTTATTGGGTACCCACTTAATTTGAATCTCTGCAGAATTAAATGATTTAGTGAAGTCCTGACTTGGAGGACAAAAGAGTTCATTTTTAAATTTCCACTGGGATTTAAATTATTATACCTCACTTGGTATGATTATGTTTATCGTGTCTACTGGGGAGAGGGAAACAGAAAGCTCCATGTAGCCTAAGATCTTTATAACAATATAGTATTTATAATTACCCAGCAGATTCCGTTGGGATTCAGTGGGGGAGGGCTGTAATTTGAGAAATGTTGCTATGGATGGATGCTATAGGTCATAGTAACTGAGTGGAAATGGGGAGTAGAGGGAAGGGAGCATCCAATGATAATGTAGGGATTTTATCATTGAGGGATGAAAATAGAAGTATGTGTCCAAAAAGAAAAATGATGAGTTCAGTTTGGGATCTTTTGAGACTGAAGTTCCTGATGTTCCCACAGTGGGGGACATCTGGTTGGAGGTCTCTTGGTGGGAACAGAGCACTAAAACTCTGGAGAAGGTCCTGGCTAGAGCAATGGCACTGGGAGCATGTGTCTCTAATTGACAGCTGAAATCCTGAAATTAGGTCAAGTGCCCAAAGAAGACTATATATAGCAAGAGGAAGAATGTGTTCAAGGGAAAATATTTAGGGGGCACCTAAAATCCGGAGAGTATGACAAGAAAGAGTAGGCCGTGAAAGAGAGAGACAGGAGGGAATCAGGAAATGAAGGCATCTTGGAAGCCACCAGAGGAAACCTTTCCGGAGAATATTGTAGGACTGAGGCCAGACTGCTAAGAGGTTAAGAACTATAAAAAAATAATCATGCATTTGGCCATGAGTGACCTTTCAGAGCACAAAGCAATGAATGCAGGGTTCTAGAAGATAAGTCAATGAGCATGGAAGAGCAAAGTCTGGGGCCATATTGGGTCAAAGACGTCTGTCAGTGCTTGGCTCTGGTTCAAGTCTAAGAGGACAGTCACTACTAATTTTATCATTGACAGTTTCTGCAAAAAGTTTTAGAATAGAGACCTATGTTAAGGATAAAGAGCATTGGTGCAATTAGGCAAAGAGCTAATTCATCATTTTTCTTTGTAGGATTTTGTCTTATGCCTAGTTCTTTTAGGAATCATAAACCTGAGTTTAATACCAAAAAAAAAACGTAGTTCTTTTATTTAAAAACTGAGGAATTGTGCTTTCCTAACTTTGTCCAAGTCCCATAAGCTTCATTTGAAGTTAAAAATTAATTCAATTTATACATGTATTTTTGTATTAGAAATAACATATTTTTTCCTGTATGTTACATCTCCAGGGAACATTGCTGTTGTCCCAATTATCAAAACCATTGGTTTAGGCCTTGGAATCTTAATCTGGGGATCATTTAATACCTTAACTGGCTGGGCAAGCTCAAGGTAACACAAAACAATTTCAACTAAGATTCTCTACACTGATGTAAGGCAAGTCCTAGGGATTGGGTTAGCTGAGAGGAATACCCTGATTTTTACCCTCACAGAGATTACAGCTGGTAAGACATACACGTGAAATATGCTACTTTTAATTATTATTTGCCCTAAATTCTAATATCTGATCTAGATATTTGGTTAAGATACAGTAAGGAATTATCTCCTTGGAACAGAAGAAGGAAGAGAGGAAGGGAACTGATGTGTATTTTCCCTTTTTACTGTGTGACAATTTGCTGGACCTGTTATATGCATCATTCTCCTCTCATTTTCACAAACATGAGGTAAGCACTACCTATAATTATAAGAGAGCTGAAAGACAGGGAGATTGGGTAACTTGCTGAATATCACAGAATGAATAAGCTAGGCTTCAAACACAGGTCTTCCGGTTCTAAAGCACATATTCCTCCTGGAGCCTGGGCCACGGTCAGCAAAACATGGCTCACCTTCCCAGCCATTTTTGTAAATAAAGTTTTATTGGAACACAGCCAAACCCATCCATTTCATATTGTCTCGGGCTGCTTTTACACTACAGTGGCAGAGTTGAGTAATTGCAAGAGACCATCTGGCCCACAAAGCCTAAAATATTTACTCTCTGGCCCTTTAAGGAAAAGTGTGCCAACCCCAGCTCTAGGGGGGTCCAGCAAGTTCACCACAAGCCCCATGGTGTCCATTTATATTTAAAGTTACATGAATAAAATTTGATAAAATTAAACATTCAGTCCCACAGCTGTACTGCCCATAGATCAAGTGCTCAATAGCCCTAGACGGCTAGAAACTACCCCATTACACAGTGCACCACAGAAGACCCCCATCAGCGTAGGAACTTCTGTTTGACTGTGCTGCCCTTGTTCAGCATGAAAATTAACATTCAAGTTGAGTTTGGGGAAAAGGAGTAGAAGGGAGGAGGTCACTCTTACCTTACTTTTTGGGCTCCTCTTCCCTCTCAAAGCATTATAACAACCTCAGTAATGACAAAATGAACTAACCTCCGATCTGTTCTTTCCTGGCCTTTCCCCATGCTTCCACCAGCTTCTTACAAGTGCTATTTTCTTTTGCTTTTTCTACTTGCCTCTTTCATTCTTGCCCTGAATGGTTCACAGTAATTGTTAGTAACGATTGCTACAATGTCAAGGCATGAAAAAATATATATATAATTATAAGGTGATGCCAAAAAGTGGTGATCCTTAACCAAGCAGTTACTTAAATGTCTGTCTCAATAAATACTATGCAAAATTGCAGCCAATTAAGTAGCATTCACTTAGCCACTAATCTATTTTGTCTTCCTTCTTCCTTAATAAGAAAGGGACACTCACAAGTACTTTTACATATACTAACTCATTTAAAATATCTTCATAAAAAGGAAGGGATATATATGTATAATAATTATACCTATCTTATAGGTACCCCATTTTAAACATGGGGAATTGAGGTATGGTAAAGAGTTAACTTGTTCAAGTCACAATTAGTAAGAGAGGGATTTAGGATTTGAATCCAGGAATCTGACCCTGAGTCCATGCTCTTGAACACTACGATGAACACATTTTCAAAAGTACCTACTTTGATGTAACTTTCTCAATTCCAGGTTTGGCTGGTTTGGAATGGACGCAGAAGAAGTATCAAAACCGGTGCTGAATTATGTTGGAGCTGGATTATCAGTAGTGAGGTACACAGTCGTTTCTGATTTAACTGTTCTTCCAAACATTTAGAAAACCTTTTAGAGATCCCAATGTGTTTACATTTTTTTAAACCCGTATTTCATAAAAGTGACATGATTTGTCCTCAGATTCTTCATTTACATGCACAGATTTGGCTTTCAAGGACAAAAAGGGCCAACTCTGGGGTCCCAAGCCCCAGCTTTAGTTCTCAAAAGCTCTGAGACCCCCGGAAGACCGTTGAGCTGCTTTGAAGCTTGCTTTCATTTATCTGTGATCTTTAGAAAAATCATAGTACCTAGCTCATAAATTAGAATCAAATGGCACATTATTTTGCAAACTAAACAATACTGTGTAAAGAAATGTTATGCTGGCTCCCCGATGCCTCTGGAATAGCCCTTGATTCTCTCCTCTTATCTCCTCTCATTACGCACTTCCTCTTTGCCCGCCAGTTTCCACATTCCTATCCCCTCATCTCTTCTTCTTATCCCAGTCAGATAACTACTCTCTCACGTATGAAAACACGTATCCACTTAAACACGTGTTTTGGGATGTATCTGTGTCTAGTCGTATGCACTACATGAATGAGGATGAAAATGACTTTAAATCTCTATATGGCAGTGTTCAATCAATAAAACTCCAGCAGGAATTAGGTCACTTTAAATTCAGTCCCCTTTCCCTTCTAGACCCCATTTATATTCCCTGTCAGTGCTTCACATAATGGATAGCCCTGCCTGGAAAGACTTTGGTACTTTTTTATTCTGCAGGGAAAGAACACTATATTTCTCTGCCTCCTGCAATGATGGCTTTTCCCCAGCCACATTCAGGAACAATCTCTTTGTCATGGAAATGTTGCCTAAGAGAGTGGTCCTAGGCCAACTGGAGAAGAAATAACATAGATTATTCTAAAAAAGCAGATTCCTGACATTTTTGGTTCGAGGCAATTTTATGTATTTTGCACAACTGACAGGGCATCCTAGCTTTGAATAGCTCTCTCAAAAACAATTTCTTTATGCCCCCAAATTGTAATGTAGCATGCCTTCTTTTTGACTTAATAGTAATTTAAGGCCAGTTTACTCAGTCCGTCAGGCATTGTTTTTCTCCATATTTCTTCTTTCTTTAGAATGTGTACATTCTCAAAAACTGCAAATTATTCATGTCCTACCCACTTCTACCTGTATGACCTTGGGCAAATTACTTAATTTCTCTAGGCCTTGGTTTCTTCATCTGGGGCTAAAGTGAGGGAAATAATTATGCCAGCCTTATAAAATATTTTGAAGATGAAATGAAAAGAAATCTGCTAAGTGCTTTGTATACTGCTAGGTATATGGCTAATGCTCTATAAATTGGGTAATTTTTATTATAATAATCATTATTTGTATCAATAGCTAGTTCATGTTCAATTGCTGGTTTCCCTTTGGGTGTGTGTTGTTCAGCTCTGTGGTAAACTAGTGCACTTGAGGATCACGCAGCTTGGTTTGGAGCTCGGTCTGTGGCACAGAAATGCCATGATCTCTTCCTGTAGTGCATTCCGGCTTCCTTCTATGTTTCTTTACCAAGAGGACCTTCTAGAAACTTTTATTTCATTATTTTAACTCCGTTAAATCAGTTTGTTCAAAGGGCATTCATTGAATAAGCTTGGAGTTTCGTGGCCATTAGTATAAGGAAATTTGGAATATGGTCACATTTGTTTGGTCACCTTCTGTTGCTTTTCTTTTTAAAATTGAAATTATTGATCTTATCCTCTGTACAGTCCAGTTTTTAAAGGATAGGCAAGACTGTTTCTAGCCTTACATTTTTCCTATATATGGTATCAGTCAGTTTCTACAACTAAAATCACTCTAAGGGGGCGCCTGGGTGGCTCAGTCGTTAAGCGTCTGCCTTCGGGTCAGGTCATAATCCCGGGGTCCTGGGATCGAGCCCCGCATCGGGTTCCCTGCTCAGCGGGAAGCCTGCTTCTCCCTCTCCCTCTCCCCCTGCTTGTGTTCCCTCTCTTGCTGTCTCTCTCTCTGTCAAACAAATAAATAAAATCTTAAAAAAAAAAAAAAGAGTGAAAAAGCGACATAACTATGTTCAGAAAGTAGCTGAGCTGCTGTTCAGCTGTTTATTTCTGGGGATAAAGTGAATATGACTGGTCTTGTTTTAGCTGAATCAGCTGACTTTAAAACTGAACTAAATCAATCTGATATGTTTGATCAGAGGTTGCAATCAAAAGTTTTAAAATTAGTTGATATTTCCTATGGTTGTAAAATGGATTCAGCCAAGCTATTATCTACTGAAGTCCTCTCCGACGTGAAATTCATTCAAGAGAAGATTTTGATGAAATCAGCTAGGACACAGGCAAGTACTATTTTGGAGTTGAAGACACACTAAAGACTTTAGACATGGAAACTGTAGAGATTCTCATAGTCTATGAAAATCTGGATATAACAAGATACAGCCTTCATTGCCAAAGCATAGAAGAGGAGAAAATTATCTAACTCTAGAACAAAAGAAGGATAAATCTCATTTCACAGACAAAGAGACAGGACAAGAACATGAGCTGATTGAGAGCACACCCCTGCTGGAATGGTTTGCTAACAACTATAACAAAATTTTGGTGCTACGTTGGAAATTGTCACAGATAAGTCACAGGAAGGATCTCAGGTTGTGAAAGGATTTGGTGGAATTAGAGGTTATCTTGCGGTACCAAGTAGATTTCCAGAGAATGGAATACCAAGGAGGAGAAGATGAATTTTTTGACCTTGATGACTACTAGGTAGTCGACATGGGTCCGGCAAAACGTGCCTCACCCTCCAGCATCCAACCCAAGAAGCATACCTGTGGTGGAATCCAAACAGATCCCTGCCTTACAATTGGAACATTTCCAGAACTTAATCCATGAGCACTGGATATTGAAAAGAAAACCGAAACAACACCAGACCCAATCCTGCACTTTGATTTGTGATGGTGTCAGTGCAACAGCCTAGAACTAAGTTCCTAAAATGCCCCTTTGGACTAATTTAGAAAAGAATCCCAGTTTTTACTTTTACTTGATGGTGAAATTGGTTGCTCTTAAATTTTATGAAAATAAAATGATTTTTTTAACCTTCATCCATAGAATCAAAATACTTTAACTACTGTAAACCTTCAAAAGTTAATAGAAATGAGATCATAAAAAAAATCTCACATCTACTTTCCCTAGTTCCATTTTTCCTCTTGCCAGTATAACCTGCTTGTATCTGCTATCAAATCAGTCATCACTCTTCTAATTAAGAACCTTGGAAACTCCCATTGAATTCAGAATAAATCTGTCTCCTTAATCTGGTATGTCCTCCACAGTCACAGATTCAACCCTTCTTCCTAGATCAGCCTTCTCCCTGTATTGTCAAATCATTGATCCAGGATTATTTATCGGACCATACCCCAGACACTTCCCCCAGCCCAAAGACCCTTTCCTCAGCTTCCTTGGCCTCCCTTAAATATCAGTTGAGATTTTCCATCCTGGGTTGTTTTCTTGATTTCCCTTCTTCCTAATTAGAATAAGTTGCCCCTAAACTTCCATGGCATCTTGAACTTCTTCTATTATGGAAGGGTCTGTTTTGTATTATTCATACAATTCCTTTATCCTTGAACTGTGAGATCCTGAAGGACAAAGTCTGTTATTTTCTTTGAATACCATCTCTCCTACCATCACCATCAGACTTTGTCACACAGTGTTTGACACTTAATAGGTGCTCACTAAAGCGTGTTAAATTAAGTTGTCTGGGTAAACACATACACAGAATTTCTACTAATTGTAAGATGTATAAGGTTACAAATCTAAGGGAAACTGGAAAGGTCAAAAATGTAGAGAAGCACTCCTGGGTATAACAGTTGATTTTTTAAAAACTTTCCATGCTTTTGACAATATTCATAGACTTTATCATGGACCTTTGTGTCTGACACACTGTACCAAGTTCTGTAAGTCTACAGCCCAAAAGACCTTGGGATCTATTTGGTCTTATGTTCATACACATAAGATAAATTTCATTACCTTGTCCTAACTTAGTGCCCTGTACCCCCTCTTGACCTAACTGGGCTGACTTACCTATTTTGTGACAAGCACTAGCCACACAAGCTCAAAACCACTGATTTCTTAGCCCTGATTTTTTTTTCTCACGCTCAAAACCCTCTCTCCCATCCAATAGGCTCTTTATTTCCTAACATGTTTTGAGATTTTACCAGTTCCCAAAAGTACACTAAGAATTTTGCATGCATTATTATTTAATTCTCATCACAGCTCGGTAAAGTGGGCACATCCCCATTTCTTTAGATGGAAAAAGTTGAGGCTCAGAGAGGCTAAGTGATTTGCAGGAGGGTCCTACAGTCGTTTGAAGAAACACTCAAAGGCTTTCTCATTGGTACCCTTCAAGTATTTCTGACATACCATCCTGTATTGTTATTAGGAAAACACACTGGTCTATACAGGGTTGAGGGTTTTCATGGTAATTTTGAGAAGAAAATGCAATTGAGATGTCTAATAATAGCTTTGCAAATTAGCATGTATATAAGCACACATTTAACTAAGATACACACATTTAGTTAGGTTTTATTGGGGTGCCTGGGTGGCTCAGTCGGTTAAGTGACTGCCTTCAGCTCAGGTCATGATCCCAGGGTCCTGGGATCGAGCCCCACATCGGGTTCCCTGCTCAGTGCTGAACCTGCTTCTCCCTCTCTTCCCCACTCGTGCTCTCTCTTTCTCTCGCTATCTGTCACTATCTCTGTCTTTCTTGCTCTCAAATAAATAAAATCTTAAATAATTAGGTTTTATGCATTCATTTTTACAGAGTGTTAAGCACTTTGAGGACCTTGAAGAAGATCTTATCTTCCATTGAATTAGAAAATCTGTAGGAAAAAAGTTTCCAAGGACTTGTGGCAAATGGTCTGGGTTATGCGATGACTGTTCTTAGTGGTGTGGGAATTCAGAGAAGAGGAAGAGTCAGTAAGGACTGAGCTGGGAGTGGGGAGGTTTCTTGTCACACTCAGCACTTCAGTTCTTCTTTAGCTTGGATAAGAAGAGGGGAGTATATGCTGTGTTCAGCTAAGAAAGAGAAACAAGCAAGAGCAGGTGGTTGTGGAAGATGGCGGCGAAGAAGAGGTCGGAGCAGGGATAGGTCAGAGACGAAAGTCCCTGTAGAGAATTATGTGGAGCAGGTTATGGGGAACATAATGCAGAGGGTAATAAAACTCAAAAAGGATAGTTAAATTCGCTATAGAAGGGAATATGGAACCATACAAGTTTTTAAAGCAAGTAAGAGACTGAACTAAGGAAGCTAAGAAATTTTAAATTTGTATTCAAAAAATCACACATTATAAGCACTCGTCTGCACTTCGCTACCTACGCTATTTCAGCCTCCTCTGTATTTTGAAAACTTATATTGCTTTAACTTTTGAACCATGCAAACATGTTTTTAAAAAGGAATGTCAAAGGCATACTACCAGAGTTGTTAGTCTCCTTAAGTTAATTTAATATTTTAACACATTTTAACCTATTTGCATGGTTCAAAAGTCAATGGTAAGCGAAGCATTTGTTACAAAGGTACTGGACATGAATAGACAATGCATTATGTGAGAATGTCAAAGGGGGAAAAGTCATCGGGCTCATGCATGTGTCTTTATCTCTTAAAATATACTCTGAAGATCTTTCCATATCAGAGCACAGAGGGTATCCTCATTTCTTTTTTTGTATCTGTGTAGCATTCCATTGTGTGACCATGAAGAGTGGGTCATCCAGGGGCGCCTGGGTGGCTCAGTCGGTTAAGCAACTGCCTTCGGCTCAGGTCATGATCCTGGAGTCCCGGGATCGAGTCCTGCATCAGACTCCCTGCTCAGCGGGGAGTCTGCTTCTCCCTCTGATCCTCCCCCTCTCATGCTCTCTGTCTCCCATTCTCTCTCTCAGATAAATAAATAAAAAATCTTAAAAAAAAAAAAAGAGTGGGTCATCTGAGTGTGGCTGTAGCAGTGTTCTCAGGCCCCAGCGTCTCCTCCATGGGGGTTGTACGGTTCTCTGCTCACCTCAGTGGTCCCTGAAGAGGCAGTGTGACAGTAATCGCCGTAGCATTAGGACTGGATTTAAGCTCTGTTTTCTCACAAAATTCAGGCAGCTTGCTATGAACCAGGGTTCTGAAAAACATCACTAAAATTTATTTTCTTTACAGTGCTTTCATATTTTTGTTCATCAAAAGTGAAATACCAAATAGCACGTGTTCTGTGGACGCCACGCCATTAATGACGGATCATGTGAGTAGAGTATGAGAAACAATATGGTTGAAACATAAAATTAAGATAAAAGGAAAATGCATAGATTTGAAATACAGATGAGAAGGTAGTTCTTTTTTTTTTTCTTTTTTCATTCAGGGCCATCGACAATATGTTTGCATATTTATTATAGTTAGGTCTACATAGCAACCAGTCAAGACTGCCACAGAAAAGCTTCTCAGCAAACGCAAAGGTCTATTTATATCTATTAATGGTAGATCCCAACTAGAAGATGTATATACAACCCCATATTTTGGAATGGCTTAAGGATTTCTGCAATGGGAGGATCCTAAGTACTGAAGAGGAATATGAAAGTTACTTTAGAAATAGGGAGGAGGCAGGTCTTAAAGTAGGCCTGGGAAGAGCAGTGGGGAATAGCTCAGAGGCAGCCAATGAAAGGAAAAATCAAATCATATGAAAGGAGGAGTAGGACTTAGAGTTTTTTCCTTTTTCTCTTTTGCCACATCCTGTTCCACTCAAAGGTAAAGACAAGAAATATGTAGGAAGTTGCTGTTTGACCTTGAAGAACCTTAATTAGTCTGGCGTAGCAAATCTAGATTAAACAGGGAAAACCTATAAGAGATCTGACAAAGCACAAGGCCCAGTGGCTATATATACAAAAGTGATTTCAGGGCCAGCTCCCATGGCCAGGAGCCCAGACTCCAGTCCTTCCTGTTTCAAGTCTCTCTGCTATCTGCTGTGGGCCCAGTGCTATCCAGCTGCCCTGGGCAACCAGAGCCCTACATCCCGACAGACAGACGCATTGCCTCCCCGGAAGGTGCTGCTTCTACTCCTTACTTCAAAACTAACCTTTTCTTCTCCCTTTTTTCTTCCCCTCTCAAAACCCTTTCAAATAAAGTGACTGAAACCTTAGTTAAATTGACACTAAAGTTAATAATTAGCTTAAGGATAAGAGAAAAGAGATTTATTAACCCATAGACATCTCTAATCCAGAAAATGTTGCAGAGAGAGAATGGAGGAATTGGGACAGAGTGAACATGTCCAATATTCCTTGCCTCCCCCAGGGATTCAGATACCTCCTGACCAACCACCCTTCATACCAAGGGAGAGAAAAAGAAAAATGCAACTCGGAAAAAGATACATAATAGGTTAACCGCCTTGGATTTTTCTAGGCACGTTGGAAGGATATAAGCAAACCAAGTGTAAAGATACATAAACAGCATGACTGGGTATTATGCAACCATACATTATGAGCTCCTCGTCATTGAAAGAAAGCATTATTGCTAAACTTGACTTAACACATGACAAAGAATTCAAATCTAGTTTCTTATCTCTTACAAAGGCATTAGGAGTATCACGTTAAAGAAATTTCAGCTAAAAGACAAAGATGATTACATTCAATATTAGAAATATAAATTGGCTTATAATTTTTCCTGACTTAGAATATCAATCTAAAAAAAGAATATTAACCTACTCATGAACCATGGCTGGAAATGTTTTATTAACTAATTCAGTTAAAGAAAACTAAATTTAAAAAGTACCTATCAATCTTAAGTATTCCATAGAAGAGTCTGAGTTTTCCTTGGTTCTAATTTTTTTTACAGATTATTAAAATATGCAGATGAAACACAAGCATTGTTAACTTCTGTTACTTTTGATAGGTGTATCAAAATAGCCATATATTAAACTGAAAAAATTTAAACAGAGAAGTTGCCAACTGCCAAACTTTTCTGAATGGAAGAGGAATAGAATCCGAAACATTTGAGTCTGGAGATATGCACAGAATCAGATTGCATAGTGTCATGTGCTCATATTTTAAAGTATGTTTGAGAAAGAAGAGAAAAACATGGAAAATCTTCTTGTCACCATGGTCATTATCAACTGAATGCTGTTTTTGTCTTGGTTTGTGCCAATATTTTCAATAGGTGATCAACAACACTCAAGATTCCTGCCCTGATTATTCCTGGGTGGATAAACTTTCCACAGTACAACAGCGCACAGTGTAAGAAGAGGTTCTGTTATTCTCTTTCATATTTGGTTAAAGCAAGGATTACCGGAGTGAAGTGATACTCATCTAAGTGCAAGAAGCAAATGGTAACATAAGCTTTGACTCTCATAGTTCCATGGTGGACAGACTTTCTTGTGCCCTGCTGGATTTTTAGGTACAGAGGTCCGTGATCTCAGTGTTTCCAGAAATTTCTAAGTCACTCCAGTATCTCTAGCCAATAAGTAGCTGACAAAAGCATCATTTTGCAACACTTTTGATCCTGAAGTAAAAGCGGTAATACCGGCCACAGCATATAATGAATGACCTCCACTGGAAGTCCGTACATTCATGTGTTAGACAATTTTATAATCTCAAGATATTCATTTTCAAATATAGTAGAATATTTTGGGTCCATGTAGTTATACCCCTCACTGTCATAGAGACTGAGAGAGTTTGGCTCACCGGCAGTCCTTATATTTTCAAGGTTCTTGTGGGATGTTTTTGGATTAGCAGAGAAATATGATAATATGTAAGTGGATAGCTTGCATTTTACAATTGATGACTGTTTGGGACTTTTATGTTGTGACACACATAAGCACTTCAAGAATATAAAGCATTTCCTCTGTTAGTATATACACTAACCCCACAGTGGGAAAGAGGCTGTGCCTGGTGCATAATAAATGTTCAATAAATATTTGAGTCAATTGAATGAAAGATTGAGCTCACAAACAAGCTTTGGAAGATAAATATGTTGCTGTTTTTGCTTCAGAGTAAAACAGATCTCTCAAAAAAAAAATTTTTTTTTCACAAAGCTTCTCCCTTCTAAGGGAATATTTGTTAAGAAAAACATTTTTGATTGTCTCATGATTAGCCAGACCTGGTCTATTGGTCGGTCTGTGTCTGGAACACCCCTTTCAGGACGATGGAGTCCATTCTTCCCCATGACACAGGGATTTCCATTGTGGATAGAGCTGATTGCCAGGTTGGCCTTGTGAGTTCCTATTAAAATAGACTTTAAGAATTTATTTTTAAGCTTGGAAAGAAATTTTGTTTGTTTGTTTTATGTTAAAGATTTTATTTATTTATTTGTCAGAGAGAGAGAGAAAGTACAAGCAGGGGGAGTGGTAGGCAGAGGAAGAGGCAGACTCCCCACTGAGCAGGGAGCCCGATGTGGGACTCGATCCCAAGACCCTGGGATCATGACCTGAGCTGAAGGGAGTCACTTAACTGACTGAGCCACCCAGGCGTCCCTGTTTGGGGTTTTTTTGTTGGTTTTTGCCTAAAACTCTTTCCTGTTTCATGCCATTGCCCTTTGTATTAAGTTAAAGGGACTGTTCCAAAATATTAATCATCTCTCCCCAAAATTATTGGGAACACTTACCTCATGCAAAGTCTGAGGAGTCATCTTGACTCTAGTGCTTAAGACGAAATATTTTCTTTTTACAATAGGAAGTGTTTTACCTGAAATATCCAAATTAATTAAGTCAGCACTTCTTGACCACACCCTAGTCAATGAAGGCATAGGCAAGTCCAGGGATTTCGATAGTTGTTTTGAACAAGCATGCATTTAGTACTTTGTCTCTCCTAGCCCTGTGCTGGATATTACTGAGTGTTTAAAAAAGGAGCAAAGGACATGGTGTCCCTCCACAAATAGTTCATATTTAGGGAGCCAAGTCTATTATGCCGACAGTTTAATGATAGCAATAGTCACATCTATGTAATGACAATTCATAATGATAATCCATTATAATTTCTGTAAATCGTATACTTCCCAAACTAGGCAGTAGGGGGCAAAAGTTGAACTTTTAGTTCTGATGCCACTCTGACCCTGCAGGGTATTTCTTTGACTTTTGACAGTCACAGAGCTTGAGATAGATGTGTGATTTCCTCATAACTGCCTGTGATTTACACTTTGAAGCATGCTTAAGCTATGATTCCATTTGTGTGTTTGTCAGAAATATTGCTGTGGGCCAAGATTAACAGTGATATATTTGTTTTTTAAGGGGCTGCAGTCTTGCAGTGATATCTGGAATACTCTATGGGTCTACATTTGTGCCCATCATTTATATCAAGGACCACAGCAAAAAAAATGACAGCGTATATGCAGGGGCAAGCCAGTATGGTAAGAGTAAAACATTATTTTACTTTATAAATAAATTCAATACCTGTTTTTCTACTTAAGAATATAAAAAAAAAAGGAATGTGATCACAGTAAATCCTGGTACATAGATTTGATCTTATTTTTCATTGTAAGTGGTGAATTAGAAAACCACTGAAGACTAAAAGTAATAAAGGACCGTTTGAGTCTTTTCATATGATCATCAAAGTACAAATATAATCAACTTTATTCTAGTCAGGGTTTATATAGGCTACTTAGATTTGAACACATAGTTCCTGGCTTTACAGTAAGATTTGGAGATTATTTTCCAGTTAGATAATCTCTGAGAAAATATGTATTCTTCTGCTCCTTTAAAAAAAGCTAAAGTGCAGTACATATCACTGTCAAATCAAGTAAAGGTCAAAGTATAACCTTCCTAAAGGTCAAAGTATAGCCTAGTCAGAGGATATTGTTTTTAAAGCATAGAGTACTGCATTGAAAAGCCCAACATAATGCTCCCAGATTATCTCAGTTTCTAGTGATAGATTGAGTCTATCTGGTATAAACTCAACACTCCGTGCAATCGCCCTTGTACAGGCTCATCAGGAGATGAAAGAGGGTCTACTTCAGGGGTCCTATCATTTTGTTGAAGCATGGCTTCCACCCATGAACTCATAAAAGAATGAGATCAGAGGTAATAAAGTTCTAAATTGGATGATACAGAAAATTAATGTGACCTACGTTCCAATAAGGGAGAAATTTGGAAGGCAGAAGTCATGAGGGAGAGATTGATGACAAAACTGGGATTTGAAAGACTTTGAGTGGATAGACTGCATAGACACCATTGTTTCTTCCTCCCTTTTTATATTCAGTCCAATTAGCATTCAAACCTTTTACTAACTTCTATCTTTTTTTAAAGATTTTCTACAAATACTTTTTGTGTTTTTATTGTTTTCCTCTGTAAAGGATAAGAACCAATAAAAACAGAATAACATAGGATAAATTAAAAGACAAGGAAAAACAAGAGTGAAAAAATAAAATGGAACCAGGAATGAGTCTAAAAATTATAACATATTTGTACACTTGCTAGAAATGAGCCATAAATTTGGCTCTAAGATTTCTTATAGGCACAAGGGAAATCAAATCAGTCCCACAATTCAGTGAACACAAGATAAAAAGAACTAATCATCCAGGAGTACGGTTGTTCTTGGTCCTGGGCTATAATAAATAATGCCAACAATCTCTTCACATAAATAGTACAATCAATTCTTAGAGACCTTTCTTATGACAACTTTAATGCCATCTAATAGGAACACATTTTATTCCACTTTATTAAAAAATAATTATAGGGAGATGCAATTTTTTATTTCGTTTATTTAACAAACACATAAGTATTACATGCCCTGTGCTAGACACTATTCTAAGCACATTTCAATAATAACTCAGTTGACCTTCATAGCAACCTTATTAGTTAGATACCATTATCATCCTTGTTTTACAGTTGAGAAAATTAAGACTGTGAGAGATCAGGTAATTGGCCCAAGTCTCAAAGTTAGCAAGTAGTGGATTGCAGATCCCACCAGATGGTCTGTGCTTTTATTAACTATGCTGTGCTGTCCCTTGTGGTAGTTCGTACATGTGTTGCTCTTATATGATCCAGAAGTAGGGTTTAAGATTTTTAGAAGAATAGACACACTCGTTGACCTTCAAGCTTTTCTCCTTAAACATGACCACACTCACCTTTGTCAAAATTTTAGTTGAGAGAAACACTGAGTCCAATGTGACCTTCCCAGCCAAGAACCTGTGGGATACCCATCTGTAATGATGTACACATCATCATGTGTCGTTAACTCCCCCCATGTAATGAGGCCTATAGTAAACAACTAAATAAAGCCCTCTTTGAGATAACTTCCTGAATATCCTTCCATGTAGCTGTCATCTGCAACAGAGATGCTGGTCTCCACATAAAATCAGCACTCCCCCATATTTTTCACATCATCCCCACTACAGTCTACTTGGAGATTTGCTACAATTGCCATTAGTAAAATTAATTCTGAAGCCTATTCTTAAAAACAAGATCATATTCACGTAATATTTAGTTTCTTATTTATCTTTCCAAGATAATCAGAAAAACCAGCCTTTTAGATCTGATTATGGTAACTAATTTACTACTTAGTATTTCTAAGTTTTAAATATGTTAATTAAAAGTCTGTAGGGACGCCTGGGTGGCTCAGTCGGTTAAGCGTCTGCCTTCGGCTCAGGTCATGATCCCGGGGTCCTGGGATCGAGTCCCGCATCGGGCTCCCTGCTCCGCGGGGAGCCTGCTTCTCCCTCTGCCTCTGCCTCTCTCTCTCTCTCTATCTCTCATGAATAAATAAATAAAATCTTTAAAAGTCTGTATAAACAGCATGTAGAAAACTAGGATGATAAAATATAATGGTTCCTTTACTTTTAAGATTAATTTTGGTGAGTTTGTTTTATTTTTAGAACCTAAATATATTTGAAATGAATAAAAGGATACATTTGAGAGTTTTATGATCTGTATTTTCAGATTTAGACTACGTTTTTGCACACTTCAGTGGCATCTTTTTTACAAGCACAGTCTATTTTCTGGCCTACTGTATAGCCATGAAAAATAACCTTAAGTTATACCCTGAAGCAGTCTTGCCAGGTAAGAATATTTACTACAGAAAATCTTCTTACTCTGTGAAGGTATTCTCTACTCACTTAGCTTGAATAATCATCTTCTGGAAACCAAGCCATCCTCTGTGTCTGTGTGTATGTTCATTCCCTATTGCTTTGGCCCAACTCACCACTAAATATGAAAGATTTAAAATCCATGAAACTTGATATGAAATGCCAGTCATTATAGAACCTGAAACTTGAACAGTGAATCTAAGATGATTTCCTGTGCCAAAATACATTGTATATTGACCATCAGACTTTATTATTTCTTCTTCATTATCTAAGGATGCTTATTAAAAGTCAGAATCAATAGAACTTTGTAGTTACTTAGGTAAACAAACATTTTCTCTGGAAAATAAGGAGAAATTGTTTTAGAGTTTGAAAAGAGTATATGATAAATGCACATGCTTTGGACTTAATCCATTCGGCACTGGTGGTGAAAAATACATATAATTTCTCACTTATTTAGGAGTTTGCCATAAAGCAACTTGGAATATAAGTCCACAAGTAAAAAATCTTTAAGAACAAAATAAAGCATATATCAGAGATTCATTTTGAATACCTGATTCATTTAGGTCAAAGTATGCCCCTTTATACCATTATAAAAAATGATAGGGTATTTATCAAACACCTAGCTAAAGTATCCTGAAAATTTTATCTGGTATTTTCATTCAAATTCTAGGAGCTTTTTTTTTTTTTTTTTCCCTTAGCTATAAGCACTATTCTGAATTTCACATATTTTTATGTTGAAAGTTTAAAGTAAATGGTGTTCACAGAGCATGCCCAGATCCAGTATCTTCCCTAGGTCCCTCTCCACTACCCAATCTTTACGTCACCTACAACTTTGGGTATTTTATTTAATGTCAATAAAATGAAAGGTTTGATAATTATACCCACAGGAGTCAAGAACAAAAAAAATGACTTGGTTTCCAAAATGATCATAAAACGATGTTGGCCAAATATGTCGATGGGAATGCATTGATATGAGCACTTTAATATTCCCACTTTATTTGGAGTGTGGATTTTTCAGGAGAGGAACGTGAGTTGTAAGTGTCCGCTGTTTGCGTGTGTTTCAGGATTCCTGTCAGGAGTTCTTTGGGCAATAGCCACCTGCTGTTGGTTCATAGCTAATCATGCTCTCAGTGCTGTGGTCAGTTTTCCAATAATCACTGCTGTAAGTAGCTGAATGTTTTTCCAAATTTTTGTTTTTCAAATGTAAATCTGATTTTTCTGAAGCATTCTTAGTGAATCACTGGGGACTGTCATGGAGTGTGATTTTTTAGGAGTACAATTTGTGTAACAGATTCATGTAGCTTCACCAACATCCTCTCACCTCATGTCCCTGATTGCTAAGGGAACATCACTAGCCTCGTTTAAGCAGGTCTGTTCATCTTTGATATCCTTGCAGTTTTTGTCTGGTCATTTTACCTAATGTCATTTTAGATACATTGTAATTTGCTGTTTATAACATACTTATCTCTGTAGAACATTTACAAATTAAAAATGCTTTTGAGTATATTCTGACAACCTTGTGAGACAGAAAGTACTTCAGACTCCTCATATGGTACTTTGGTATTTTTAAAGGCTTTCAGGAAGTCCTAAAGCAAACTATTGTCTCTGGATAAGTTATGTGATTAAACCTTAAGTTTTGCTTTGTGCTTACAAAAGGGAGTAATACAATGGGCTAGCTAATTCTTTGTAACTGGTAACATATTATTTCCTCAGAAGAGACCAGTTATTTTCTAGTACTACATTCTTAATAGAATGTATCATATGGGGCCTTCTACAGGGGACACTGAGTAACAATAAATAATATTCCTCAAAAAAAATTATAGTAGACAGAGATTTGGTTTTTCTGTCACTGTTTCTTGTATTAAATTATGGTAAAGACTTAGGATAAAACATTAAATCTTAATTCCGTGGAAATAAATTGCTGAGGTAGGTGAGGTATGGGCAGACGGTCGATGGGAGTAATCACTATGGCTCTTGGAAACTTGCCTGTCAGAAGGATTATTCTTGAACCACTGTGATATAAGCAAAGTCTTCTCACCCACCAGGTATAGCTTCCTCTGGTGCTTGGGGGATTTTTACCTGGGAAAAACAGGTGTTTCTGGGACTTGAGGGAATTGGGCAAAATTGCTACTAGATTCTTGCTTGGTGTCACCTTTGTTACTCTAGTCAAAAACAACCTTTTCCACATACAGAAAAGATTCAGTCTTTTCCTCAAGGATCTTACATTCATCTTTATTTCTTGGAAGAACTGGATTTTTTTTAACATTAACTTTTTTCATGGAAAACTTCAAACATACCCATCACCCAGCTTCAACAATTATAAATATGATCAATTTTATTTTATCAAAAGAGCAGTTTTATAAAAAAAATTCTAGTAGCACTGTTCTTCCCAGTTACCTATATTTCCACTGTTATATACCCACTGGTAACTAAACTGTGAAATCCTTGAAAGCAGCATCTATAGTTTATTAGCAAATAACATTTAATTAAAAAGGAAAGAGAAAGAGAGCAGGGAAGGATGGAAGGAAGGGAGGGAGGAAGGGAGGGAGGGAGGGAGGGAGGAAAAAGAGAAGGGGAGAGAAAGGGAGGAGAGATGGGAGTGGATGGGAGAGGAGGGAAAGAGAGCAGGGAGGGAGGGAAGAAAAGAAAACTGAAGAAAAAACCCATGTAGCAGGAGCAAGGGCTTGTTACCTCTGCTCCATGTCTTCACTGATAAATCTAAAAGCTGAATCATTTTATCCAGAAGTTCAGCTTCTCAGCATAGCTCAAGCTCACCTTGTTTTCAAAGGCTGATTTACAAATATGTAATTTATATTCACTTTACGAAAGGAAAATATGCAATCCCAATTGCCAAAACAGCTATGTCTCTTATCTAAGATGTCCTTCCTATTTGGCTCTCCGTTGCCTGAATCAAAGAGTATGTACACACTTTGACTTATGCTTGCATTACTTTTGGCAAAGCACCACTTCCTATAACCACATTACTCCTGGCAATAACCCTTAGACCATGTCTAAACTAATATTTAGGAAATCATCAGCCAAAAGCCTCAAAGGTCAGTGATACCTTTTGGCATTGTCTTCTATCATGTTCTCTGAAGGGAAATAAATTTCCAGATTAGAGAGGATAAAATTCTTGAGTGATTGGCCTGATAACATTAATATTATATCCCCTTTTTCTGTTGTTTCCTTTCATCCTGTCCAATGTCAGTGTGGAATTGCCTAAAGGACCCAGATGCTTCTTGTTTGGTTTGGATTTTGAGGCTTAGGACGTTACGTCATTGATAAAAGACAGTTCCTTTGACCTATTTCTCTGGCGCTTTTGATGTTGAGTTTTCCAGACACTGATAAACAGAGAGTAATATATTTTTATTGCTTTGCTTACATGCCTGGAGTGGAGTCAAACTTTGTTGACCCAGTCATGTAGACAGTTGGAGTAGTGGAGGGGAAAAAACATGTTGGAATTGTTTATGAGAAACTCCTCCAGAGTTTGTGCAGGGCTTGAAAAGGAATCATAAAAATGCTGATACAATACACCTTCTCCACAAACACCATGATTAATCCAAATTCCAATTTTTTTTCCTTCTCAGCTAAAAAATGTTAATAAACTTAAATAGCTTCAAGTTTCAAACTACAAAATCATCCTTTCTTTCCACCTCATTTCTTCTCATTTCCCTTTCCTAGATCATTTCATTCCTGTCTGAATAAACCTATTGTTTATTTTTCCTTACATGGCTTTTCTATCTTCCTATAATACTGTCGTTAGCATCCATTGAAGTTTAATGTTAGACATAGTTCATCTTGAGATTGCCTCATGCTGAAAAAAGTTATAAATTATTACCACACTTTCAGGGCGCCTGGGTGGCTCAGTCGGTTAAGCGTCTGCCTTCAGTTCAAGTCATGATCCCAGAGTTTTGGGATCAAGCCCTGCTCCAGGTTCCCTGCTTGGCCAGGATTCCACTTCTCCCTCTCCCTCTGCAGCTCCCCCTGCTTGTGCACACTCTCTCTCTCTCTCAATAAATAAAATCTTAAAAAAAAAATTATTCTTACACTTCCTCCTATTAATCCCATTTCTAGTATCCTAAGTTCATTAGAAAAAAATAAACCACTTGCTTATTAAAATTTTATTATAAGTAGATCACATTTATTAAAGTAGATCACATAATAGTATAGCATCATCAATGTAATAAATATGAAAATCATAAAGAAACAAAAAATCCTCATTTTTTACCAAGTGCTACCTTAGTTTAATGTTGAGTTAGGGTTGAGATTATGAATAGTTTTCCCTGACAATACTGTTATACTGTTTTTACAGTAGAAGGTTATTCAGTGAAAGAATTAGGGCAGCTCTCCAATATACTATATTTATGTAGAGTACAAGTCACAGAAAAAATAACCAATTCAATAGTTGTTTTTTTTTTTATTCAAGGGCCCAGGATTTATAGCTGCAATGTGGGGTGTCTTCATGTTTAAGGAAATACAGGTATGTACAAGAAAGGGCGATTTAGAAAACAGGTATAGAGCCAGGTAAGAAAGGTATTTCATACTATGTTTGTGTCATTTTCTGAAAACTATATGTGACTCCTAAGCCCAGGGCAGAAAACACATGAATGGATTTGACAAACTCAGATGTTCAAAATGTTATCATCCCTAACAAGGAAAGAAAATACTAAAGATATGATAATTATTATGAAACATGTTTCTCTCCACCCCAGCCCCCAGTGGGAAAATGCTTTAGTTGACTTTTTTTCCCCTTAAGAGATTTTGGTTACATAATCCACTAAAATATGATAGAGGGAAATTTTATTTAATGTAAAATATGATAGATAAACAAGATGGAAGACTTTTTTATCCTAAAGATTAAAATATCCCTGAGGCAAATGGAATTTGAGAATAGATTTTTCTGTCGGTTCTTATGCCTCCCAAAGGCCTCCACATCAAACCAGCAATTTTATAGGAAAATAGTATGGTAGCAGGTGACTACTACCACTTCCCTTTCAAGTGTAAATGATAGTGATTTAAAGCTGCATTTATTAAATAGCTGTAGGATGTGTGTGTGTGTTTTCATTAAAAAACATGTTTTAGGGGCACCTGGCTGAGCGTGGGACTCTTGATCTCGGGGTTGTGAGTTCTAGGTTGGGTATAGAGATTGCTTAAAAACAAAATATTTTTAAAACACTTTTTAATTGTTTTAGAATTTTTCCTATTTACCTTTATTTGAGGAATATACGTGAATAGTATTTTGTAATAGTTTTTACTAAAAATATACATAAATCAAAGACACTCTGTCAAGGTATCATAGATTTAATACTTGCTGTCTTCATATGCAGCTGCAATAACAAATAATTCCTGGTTCTAAAAAGATCTGATGTTCCTAATCTCTGGCAACCAAAGAGCAAACTGTGTACTTGGATAATCCTTAAAATGATTATCCAATTTTAGATTTAAAATATCATTTTATTTATTCTAAGTGAAATGTTTTGATTTAGAAAGCCATAATTTGATAATACTGGATTCTCAAATTTAAAAAATAATAAATTTGTTTAGGAGATATGCACCAAGATCTTAATTTTTGTACTTTTTTAAATACCCAAGACAACTGAAATTGCTTCCATACACATTTCTCATTTATTTTAGTCAGGGTTGCTTTCCACAAAAAATAATTCTATGTCTAAAGCATGCCGTAATCTCTTTGCAAATATTTCATCTCCCTCCTAAAGGATAATGATTGCTATTTAAGAATTGGGTATTTATTATCCAGTATAACATCCTGAAGCCTTAGAAAATCACAAGTGATCATAGCTTATTTGCAGTTAGAGGTAAAAAGAAGCACAAATGAAGAATAGATTTAATGTAAAGGATCTGGAAAATTATTTTAGTCACTACTACTTTAATAATGATACGAACTTAAAAACCCTCTTCCCTAGTTATAAGAACTTGAGAGAGAGAACCCCTAGCCATTGAGCCTAGTGGTAATTCCTGAGTCCTCTAAAATGATACTAAAAGACATTCAAAGAAAGCTTTTTTTAAAAGACACCTTTAAAAAGATAGCTAAGATCAAATAGAGAAGAATTTTTTTTTAAATAATAAGCCATGACCACATAGGGCTTAATTCAGGAGTGCCAGGAGAGTTCATAATATGCAAGTTAATCAGGGTTATATAATATTAGGTAATCAGAGAAAAACTATGTGATAATATATATTCAAAAGACGTGCTGAAATTAAAAACCAGTTGTTGTTTTTTTATTTGAGAGAGAGAGCACAAGCAAAGGGGGAGGGATAGAGGCAGGGGGAGAAGCAGACTCCCCGCTGAACAGGGAGACCGATGCAGGACTCCATCCCAGGACCCTGGGATCATGACCTGAGCTGAAGGTAGATGCTTAACTGACTGAGCCACCCAGGTGCCCTAAAAACCAGTTTTTAATTAAGAGAAAACCTCTTAGAAGTGTTACAAATAGGAGAAAGCAGTCTGTCAAAAAACAATAGCAAACACATAGCTAAAATGAAAACTAAAATTCTCTCAATTATCCCTCAATAAAAGAAAAAAGAAAAAAAGGAGTTCTCTGTAAGTTGAAAGAGATTTCTCCATCACTGTTATTATTCAGTATTTTCTAGAGATCCTAGCCAGTATGGTAAAACAAAATTAAGAAAGAGAAATAGATGTAGGAAAGAAAATGAGAAAACTGTCATTTGCATGTAACATTATCTTCTTTAAAAATCTAAGTGAGGGGCACCTGGGTGGCTCCTTCGTTAA